TGTGGCCGACCCTCACAAAACTTCCATTCTCCTCCGTCCAGGTCATCTCGATTAGTCAGGTCCTCACTCAGGACATAGCAACGTCCAATGGGATCCCGAGTCTCTGATGACTGGTTTACACGTTGCCTCAGTTCGTACAGATGAGCGCAGGTCTGGTGAGGGGGGGAAAACGCATTAGGGTTTCCTGGATATCAGTTAGCCTTTGATTTTTTTAAAGAATATGATACTATGCAACAGTGTAATGACCTTCATCATTATAAACAACAACTTGGCAGATGAACCAAACCTAGAATTGCACAATGTCTGCTCTTATATCTCTTGATCATCAGCACAATGTGAATTTACCCAATTTGGGCATTTGGTACTCACCACAACCTTCCCTCCAATGCCCTGACTCTTGACTGTAACTCCCAGCCACTGGTTGTCCTTGCTCTCTCTGTCCCACCTCACTGAAAGAGAACACAGAGTGAACTGTCAGTCATGATGGCTTCCATATTGTAAGCCAGGAACATTATGGTTACAAGCAAACAGAACTTCACCTATTAGAAGTGTTATTTCACTTCTCACTTCACAAAAACGAAGCAGGTATCTTTATAAATATGATACAGTAACATCATATATTTCCATGATGCTTGTCAGAGAAACCATTAATATTCTGCCTGGGATAATGTAGTTTATAATAAAGATAATTCTCTCTGACCGACAGAGGTCCAGGTGTTATTTAGATTTCTTAAAGCCCAAGTTGATGTGTTTAAAGTTTTGTCTTTGGTTGAAGTGTTTAATTTCACAGTACAGAGAACAAAGTGAAACACCAAGAATAAAAATCACGTCATAGTTTGGTTGATGAATTGACAAATTAACCGACAAGTTGTTTCAGTTGCACTTGAAACCCACCGTCTCCATCGATGTCAACCCTCTCACAGTCGTACTCCTCTGGTGTGATCGGACACCTGAACAGGGCTCCTGGTCGACTGCCCGTCAACTTACCCTGCCCTGCCGCCCTTGGAGCTCCCACCAGTATCCTAAATAAAGGAAAATGAAAG